CACAACTCCGTCACGTTAGAGGGCTGCTACACAACTCCGTCACGTTAGAGGACTGCTACACAAGTCCGTCACGTTAGTGGGCTGCTACACAACTCCGTCACGTTAGTGGGCTGCTACACAACTCCGTCACATTAGTGGGCTGCTACACAACTCCGTCACGTTAGTGGACTGCTACACAACTCCGTCACGTTAGTCGGCTGCTACACAACGCCGTCACGTTAGAGGACTGCTACACAACTCCGTCACGTTAGTGGGCTGCTACACAACTCCGTCACGTTAGTGGGCTGCTACACAACTCAGTCACGTTAGAGGACTGCTACACAACGCCGTCACGTTAGAGGACTGCTACACAACTCCGACACGTTAGTGGGCTGCTACACAACGCCGTCACGTTAGTGGGCTGCTACACAACGCCGTCACGTTAGAGGACTGCTACACAACTCCGTCACGTTAGTGGGCTGCTACACAACGCCGTCACGTTAGAGGACTGCTACACAACTCCGTCACGTTAGTGGGCTGCTACACAACTTCGTCACGTTAGTGGGCTGCTACACAACGCCGTCACGTTAGAGGACTGCTACACAACGCCGTCACGTTAGTGGGCTGCTACACAACGCCGTCACGTTAGTGGGCTGCTACACAACTCTGTCACGTTAGTGGGCTGCTACACAACTCCGTCACGTTAGTGGGCTGCTACACAACGCCGTCACGTTAGTGGGCTGCTACACAACGCCGTCACGTTAGTGGGCTGCTACACAACTCCGTCACGTTAGTGGGCTGCTACACAACTCCGTCACGTTAGAGGACTGCTACACAACTCCGTCACGTTAGTGGGCTGCTACACAACGCCGTCACGTTAGAGGACTGCTACACAACTCCGTCACGTTAGTGGGCTGCTACACAACTCCGTCACGTTAGTGGGCTGCTACACAACTCCGTCACGTTAGAGGACTGCTACACAACGCCGTCACGTTAGTGGGCTGCTACACAACGCCGTCACGTTAGTGGGCTGCAACACAACTCCGTCACGTTAGTGGGCTGCTACACAACTCCGTCACGTTAGAGGACTGCTACACAACGCCGTCACGTTAGTGGGCTGCTACACAACGCCGTCACGTTAGTGGGCTGCTACACAACGCCGTCACGTTAGAGGACTGCTACACAACTCCGTCACGTTAGAGGACTGCTACACAACGCCGTCACGTTAGAGGACTGCTACACAACGCCGTCACGTTAGAGGACTGCTACACAACTCCGTCACGTTAGTGGACTGCTACACAACTCCGTCACGTTAGTGGGCTGCTACACAACGCCGTCACGTTAGTGGGCTGCTACACAACGCCGTCACGTTAGAGGACTGCTACACAACTCCGTCACGTTAGTGGACTGCTACACAACTCCGTCACGTTAGTGGGCTGCTACACAACGCCGTCACGTCAGAGGACTGCTACACAACTCCGTCACGTTAGAGGACTGCTACACAACGCCGTCACGTTAGAGGACTGCTACACAACGCCGTCACGTTAGAGGACTGCTACACAACTCCGTCACGTTAGAGGACTGCTACACAACTCCGTCACGTTAGTGGACTGCTACACAACTCCGTCACGTTAGTGGGCTGCTACACAACGCCGTCACGTCAGAGGACTGCTACACAACTCCGTCACGTTAGAGGACTGCTACACAACTCCGTCACGTTAGTGGGCTGCTACACAACGCCGTCACGTCAGAGGACTGCTACACAACTCCGTCACGTTAGAGGGCTGCTACACAACTCCGTCACGTTAGTGGGCTGCTACACAACTCCGTCACGTTAGAGGACTGCTACACAACTCCGTCACGTTAGAGGACTGCTACACAACTCCGTCACGTTAGTGGGCTGCTACACAACGCCGTCACGTCAGAGGACTGCTACACAACTCCGTCACGTTAGAGGACTGCTACACAACGCCGTCACGTAAGAGGACTGCTACACAACGCCGTCACGTTAGAGGACTGCTACACAACTCCGTCACGTTAGTGGACTGCTACACAACTCCGTCACGTTAGTGGGCTGCTACACAACGCCGTCACGTTAGTGGGCTGCTACACAACGCCGTCACGTTAGAGGACTGCTACACAACTCCGTCACGTTAGAGGACTGCTACACAACTCCGTCACGTTAGTGGGCTACTACACAACGCCGTCACGTTAGTGGGCTGCTACACAACGCCGTCACGTCAGAGGACTGCTACACAACTCCATCACGTTAGAGGACTGCTACACAACAAGATGTTTATGTAACAGACATAAAAGTAGTCTGTAGCGAGGAAAAGCTTGGTGATGGTGTTAGCACGTTAGATCTATTCGTCGAGAAACACTATGCTCAAAGCGACCATATATACACAGCACCCGGAGAATGGGAGGCAGTGAGGTTTGAGCCGAGGAAAGGGGGGGGTAAATCCTTGGGAGAAGAGCCCTTTACAGGCTGCAATTCACCCCCTCCCCACCTCGTCCTTGTTATCATTCTCCCCTATTTGCTATTTACCTAACTCATCATATTTTGCTTAGCTCTCAGCTACGTTCTCTGCATGTTTCTTTTTACTACACTCTCCTTCCCTTCTTATTCATTATGGTTATTCCCTCTCAGTCCCCCTTCTTTATTGTTTATGTTCCTCCAGTTTTCCTCTTTTCCTCTTCCTTTCTTGGTTAACGTTCTTCTCTCTTTCTTTGTGACGTCGCTCCTATCCAGTTTGTCTTGGTTCTTAAATATCATGGCTTCCGTTCCTCCCTCTGTTATCCCTCAAATTCTCTTACATCTTTATTAACTTTACATACGGTATCCCACCTGTTGGAATATGACATTAGAATAGTTATCTGTTGTTCCTACAGTGTAACTTTCATACAGAATATTATATCAGCACACTACTCATGGATCCAATTTCGTTAAAAAAATATTGGCATATACTGTTAGTCCTTCCTCGCATTTCTACCCTTCCTCCCAACTCCGCTCTTCCTTCCATTTCTGCCATTCCCCTTATCATGATCTCTTCCTGCAAGATATCACATCACTTATACACTCTTGCAGCTTCAGTTGCTGCTGATGAAATCAACCTTCTCTGTAGCGCCATCTCTTCTCTCACATCCTTCACACCCCCGTATTTACCTCCTGTGACTCCTCCCTGGAGGTCCCTGCTAATGCTGCCTGCGTTACGCTCTCTCTCACTGGATATTCTACACCGTCACCGACATCTCACTATATCTCTGTCTCCCACTTGCTGCAAAACTCTTTGTCACAGTCTATAAACGCCCATGGTAGAGTATTTTAAAGTCTCTGACTTGCTATCAAAAACATCCCTTTATGCTGACTGATGTATGTCTGCTACAGTTGTCTGAACATCCCTGTATACCAAGTCTTGAAGCATCTCTGCTACTGTCTTATTCTTGATATTTCTTTTCAATCATACTGGAGACATAGGAATAAAAGTTTCTGAATTATTTTACAACGCTTCTCCCCCCCCTCCCAATCTCTCTTCCACTCTCTTATTCCTTCTACACAGTGCCTGTTCCTCTGCAATGTTGGTATATCTTCTACACGGTACCTGTTCATCTACAATGTGTGCAACCCTTTATAATGGTGCTGCGCCTCTATAAAAATCTTGCTGCAGCAATTATTCTCAACCACTGCAACAATCCCGTTTTCTTTGACTTTAATTTCCACATGAACATTATAAATTTTTCTTTATTTTAACGTCCTCATTTCTTTTATAAATGCCATCTCATAAAAACTCAATTTCTTTGAAAAGTTTCTCTTACCCTCATAAGATTCCACTTTCTTTCGAAACGTCTTCATTTCTTCTGATTTTTTTTTTTTTTTGTATCCGGGAAGTCCCTAAGTTGACAGTTCTCAAGTACCTATTTATTCGCCCTCAAGTGCCTATTTATTCGAGCCAAGGCTTCGCTTCTCTTCCAATATTCTCCTTTCTTCTGCAGCGTCAATATCTCTGCTGCAGCTTCCTTACTGCCTCTTTCTAACGTGTCTATGTGCCAATTTCTTCTATGTCTCTGTTTTCATTTTTATATCCCTATCTTATTTAACTTCTTTTGTGCGTCATTACTCATTTTTCTTACGTTTCCATTTCTTTTCCAATTCCTCTAAGCATCCGCACAAGTTTCTTCCCCAATGCCATTGTTTTTCATTACCAATTTACTGTTTCTGCGCAGTCTATTTCTTGTCCGTCTTCAAGATTTTATTTCTACCCTGCCTCTCTTTTTTTTCAAGGTCCTTATTTCCTGCCTAACGGTTTTTCTTCTCGTCTATTTATTTAACCCATTCCTTATTTATTTCTATAACAATCTTATTTTTTTCCTCTATTTTATTACTATTACTAGTATATAAACTGGGGAAACGCAAAACCCGTAGGGGGTCACGCAGCGCCTGGGAATGGGAGGTCATCAAATTTGATCCAAGGAATTTGAGGTTAACTCTAATTCATTTCTACGGTGTCCCTGCTTCTTCTCAGAGTTTTGAGCTTGCGTTATATAGTAAAATTCTATACTGTTAAAAATTCTAACTCATTTTTCCTCCTACGTTACACATTTCGAGCCTTTCAAAGTCACTCAGTACAGGTAATCCAAATCACATATAATATGTTAGGCCTTTGTTTACTAGGCGCCATGTCTGATGGATCAGGGTTGATTCCTTCTTACCTGTTGCACTGCGAATGATTATCCATCTCCCGATCCACCTTATCACTGGGAAAAATAGCTTACGAATCTGTTCATCTTCTTTGCCTTGTGGAATGCGCTTACCATCTTTTCATTCTCCTTGTCATTTCTGGGATGTAAGCTTATCCATTCCCTCATCCTCCTTACCATTCGGAATGCGTGTTTAACTACGTCTTAAACATCCTTACCTGCTGGAAAATGAAGTTACTCATCTTCTCATTCTCCTTACCCGGTGAAATAGGTTTCCCATTTCATCTACATACATAATGAATAGAGATTTGTATTGCTCTCACCTGCTGGAGTGAGCGTTCTCCTCTTCTTCCTCCTCCTCCTGAGGTTCTTCAGCTGGCTCGTCCAGGATGGGTGCCATGCGTGTTCCAGGGGAGCTGGACGGGCCAGAGGCTGGCGACTTCACCCGCCGGAGAGTGCCCATGCGGAATGACTGACGAAAGGATGCGCGAGCCCTGTTGACTGTGCGAGACAAGATAGATTAAATGTTGGTATTTTCACACTTGATACACAGACTTACTATTACTACTACTATCTCTATTACTACTAATAGTATTACCATTACTACTGCTGTTAAAAAAGTAAATTAACAAATTTGAATCGCAAAAAGAGCAATCTCTGTCTCTGTCTCTGTCTCTGCCTCTCTGTATCTGTCTCTCTCTCACTCTCTCTCACTCTAAGGCAGGGGTGGGCAAACTCTTCAGTACAGGGGCCACATTCAGAAATTCACAATTTTCAAGGGCCGTATAGTATATTAAGTACAATAATTAATATTTAAAATAGCCAAAAATAAAAGGTTTTTTAAGAAAAAAGTAGTAACAGGTATATCCCACAACTATTTAATTTCGAATTTTTAAGGTTTGTAGCCAATAAAATTTAAAGCCTATAAAATCTGTAGCCTATTCTGGCAACACTAATAATCACTTGTGTGTACAACAGAGTTGCAAGATTAGCCATTTGCAGGTAACGTGTTAATGTTCCACAATATTACTTGGCGTTGCGTGGTAACTTTTTTTCAAATTTACTAACATTTTGTCCCGAAATAACGTGAGTATATGACTTGATCTTAACGGGCCGCATGAGAACCTTTGGTGGGCCGCGTGCGGCCCGCGGGCCGTATTTTGCCCACCGCTGTTCTACGGTAAATGAATCTCCGAATCGAAGAATTCAACACATCTCTATACAACACAGGATACAGTATAAGAAACATCAGTGAAGAATGTGAACTATGCAAGAAGCGTTGCTTTCACAAGCATCATCATTAATGACTACGATTTTCTTATCAAGAGAAAAGCAGCGTACAGAGGGGCCCAGATTGCTGATACAATGACTGGCAAATGATCCAACTCACTGAGAACGACAAGGGCTGTCGTGTAATAAAAATCACGACAGGACATTCCACAGGATATCTCCAGTCGTGGTATCACGGTAGGATACTCTACAGTTATGGTATCACGATAGGATAGCTCCACAGTCATGGTATCACGAAAGGATAGCTCCACAGTCATGGTATTACGTCAGGATAGCTACACAGTCATGGTATTACGGCAGGATAGCTACACAGTCATGGTATCACAGCATACACCACAGTCATGGTAACAAGACAGAATACACCACAGCCATGGTAACAAGACAGAATACACCACAGTCATGGTAACAAGACAGAATACACCACAGTCATGGTAACAAGACAGAATACACCACAGTCATGGTAACAAGACAGAATACACCACAGTCATGGTAACAAGACAGAATACACCACAGTCATGGTAACAAGACAGAATACACCACAGTCATGGTAACAAGACAGAATACACCACAGTCATGTGATCACGACAGGATAGCTCCACATTCACGGTATTATGACAGAATACACCAGTCATGGTATCACGGCAGGATAGCTACACAGCCATTGTATCAAGACAGGAGCTCCACACTTGGTCATGGTATTACGACTGGGCGCCTCCAACCACTTGTACACAAACTTATCAGTTTGTGTCTCTTAATGACCAAAACATTTACGATCAAATTCGACAAGCTGCTGCTGCTGAACACTGACGAGTGGACCTACTGTGCTTGAGCAACATTTTTCCCTCTCTTGCACACATTTCCCAGGTTCTGTATCAACCCTGTGGGTTCAAGCTTTCCTCAGGGTTACAGTAATAAAGATGCATGCGCCATTTTGCACATAACAACATGAAATTTGTTGCAACACAAGTCAAAGGTTTTCTGCATCTTAACCACTGTATTAACAGTTGTGATATTTTTAAGTCATTCAGTTCTCTTGGTAACACAAAATATACAGTATACAACACAGTAACAAGATAGATCACATTAATAAAACATACTAACATGAATTAAAATCAACAATATCATACAAAGTTTGAATAGTCAGCATCAGTTAAAGACCTCATTAAATAGTCAAGCCTAAATTTTTCCATAGATCCCTACAGGCACCCAGGTAATATCTTAACCATTCTAGTTTAAAAAGTATTAGGAATATAATGAAAGCGTTTACATATAATCAATTATTATTAACAGGTTCTGTCAACAGCGACAAATTGAAGATTTAACCGGATGATGTAAATTACATTTGCAAACAACAAAAATCTATGGAAACAAAACCAGGTATTTAACTAACACCAAGGCAAAGTCTCCAGCCATTAGTTCCCATCAATAACCATTAAGTAAAATGAACAAGAAACTCAAAACACTTTTTTTTTTAGAGCAATTCTGTTAAATCACCAGAGGCAGCAAATAAGAAGTTCTGCGTATCTGGACTTGGCTAATGGACTCTCAGATAGACGACCGAGCACATTAATGGCACTTGAGAAAATGTGGCGGAAGTGAGAAACTCTGACCTGTGTGAGATGCTTAAAGTTGTGTACAAGGATAAAGACGGTCTCAATCTTTTTCTCTGTTTTTCCACCAATGATTGTGCTGAAGAAAAAGAACGAATAAGGTAGATGGGTAATAAATGTAACCTTTCCTTAATGGTAAACAATACCGACAAGTTGATGAAGCTTACCCATTAAAATCAAAGTACTAAACCCTTGCAAGGCTGAATGACTGATTACCTCATCTTCCAAATACAATCTCTCTTCTGAAGTATAAAAAAAAAGGCGCTGTTGGCGAAACGTCTTCAAAATAAAGATACCCAGGTCTTGCACCTGAGTTATGAAGGTATTTTCACATCTACACATTACTCTCCTTGCCTAACACAAATGTGTTCAATATATAACAATGTCGAGGATCTTGAATGAATTCCAAAACTCAAGCCAACTTATGAAGTAATATGAAAAAAAGATCACTTGAAAAATATATAAAGACTTTAAATCGATGTACTTAAACATTTGGAATGTTCGAAAATGTGATGGAGCCACTATGCTACCTTGGAAGGATGGAAAGCAGATTGCCTGGGACTACACATGTGCCGCCACATTGGCAGACACCTACTTGCCATACTCCGTAGTGGAAGGGGGTGGAGCTGCCAGCCACAGGGAGACCCAGAAGATCCGCAAATATGAAGACCTTCCCCCTTGCTATACCTTCATCCCAATAGGGTCGGAGACCCTTGGAGCATGGGGCAAGTGTGCTCTAAAGTTCCTAACAGAGCTGGGTGAAAAGCTCATCATAGAAACCAAGGACCACAGGGCGACCAGCTTCCTCTTTCAGAAACTCAGTGTTGCGATCCAGAGAGGAAATGCCTGCAGCATTCTGGGCACGCGGCCCACCGCCGGGGAGCTGGACGAAGTATTCGAGATGTAGCTCTGAGTTACCTACGTTGTTTTACCTTCTATCGTATTTTTGTGAATGTTTTGTCAATGTATTTTGTCTTTAAATAAAATATATATAAAATATAGGGGGTGGCAGGAGAAAATTTTCAAACAGCTCAGGGAGAACCTTGAGTTTTCCCTGAAGCAAGTTTTATTCTTTTCTCTGAGGATGAGGTCCCTAAAACAGTTCTAGAGGTGGTAACCTCCCTATATATATATATATATATATATTATATATATATATATATATATATATATATATTATAAAATATATATATATATATATGTCGTGCCGAATAGGCAGAACTTGCGATCTTGGCTTAAATAGCAACGTTCATCTTGCCATATAGGACAAGCGAAAATTTGTGTATGCAACAATTTCGCCAAAATCTTTCTGAACCTAACGAAAAATATATATTTCACTGTGTTTGTTTAGTATTAAATTATTGTAATCAAATCTAAAATATATTTAGTTGGGTTAGGCTAAAATAAATTGTTCTTGTTATAATAAGGTTAGGTAAGTTTTCTAAGTTCCTTTAGGTGCAAAATTAAAAAATTTTACATTAACATTAATGAAAAAATATATCTTTAAACGTATAAGAGAAAATTTTAGAAAGGACTTAATTTTAAATGAGTTCTTGCTAATTGACCAGTTTTACATATTTGGCACGACATATATATATATATATATATATATATATATATATATATATATATATATATATATATATATATATATATATATATATATATATATATATATATATATATTATTTTAATATATATATATATTAAATATATATATAATATATTTATATATATATATACACATCACACACACACACACCAACACACACAGCAACACACTACCAAAATTCTGAGGTCGGTGGTCTCCCTTGTCGTACAAGCGGCCAAAATTTGCTACCTCAAACAATCGTCTCCATCACGTCAACACCTCACTCTTCAGTAATTCTCTTCTCTCACCCAAATGTGCGAGTACACACTCTTCCACCCTGCGTATCAACAAGTGGCAGGGAGAGAGAAAAGAAGGAAGTATGGGAGAAAGAGTAAGCAAGAGGGAGAGGGAGGAAGAAGCAGACAGGGAAGGAGTCGAAGAGCGTGAGAATGAACATGGTAAAGGCAAACAGTAAGAGACTCTTTACTACTGTCTCGATGTAGGACTATCTTCTATTTTTAGTTGGTCGATTCAAAACAGAAAAGCAGAAGCCTCTCTCCTCATTCCCCACCCTCCACTCCGATCACTGCTGGCGTGAAACAACCAGTAAAGATGCTAAACAATTATTAGAAAACGAAAATGAACATTTATAGAAAAGTGAGAAGTGAATGTGAGGTACTGAGTAGCATCTACCTCTACTCCAACTGCAGATGATACTCCACTGTCAACCATGGCGCTGGGTAGTAGTTCTACCTGTAAATACTGTGTTATGTGCTCAACCAGCTCTCGTGTGTACTTACCGACCTTCTTAGACTAATTCGATTTGACACTAACAACTTCAAAGGGAGACTGTCACTGTACCACAACAGAGGGAGGAAGAGCGAGAGAAAGAGAGAGGCAGAAAGAGAGAGAGAGAGAGAGAGAGAGAGAGAGAGAGAGAGAGAGAGAGAGAGAGAGAGAGAGAGAGAGAGAGAGAGAGAGAGAGAGAGAGAGAGAGAGAGAGAGAGAGA